TTTTAATCTGATAATACAGTTCATGCTTACTTTATACGTTTCCCATATTCTCAAATATTCTTAAGTTCTTGCTTACTCTGTACGTTTCCAAATATTCTTAAGTTCTTGCTTATTCTCAAATATCCTTAAGTTCTTGCTTACTCTGTACGTTTCCCATATTCTCCAAAATTCTTTTAATCTGATAACTCTTTTCCTGATCGCTCCCAAGAGGCAACATCTACAGACCCTTCCTCAAGAAACCAGGGGACCTCTGCTGCGATGGTATTCAAGAATTTTTCTACCGTCTCAGCCTTTATCTTGATCCTGCCACGTCCTAAGAGCTGCACTAACGCAGTGTGCACTTTCGCTTTCGAGCCGCCAGTACCCATTTTCTTTGAATTGCTTCACCTCGTCCCTTTTTGGGAGCTTTAACCTCTATCCCTTTCAGGGAACCTTGTCCTCATCCCTTTCAGGGAACCTTGTCCTTGTCCCTTATCCGGGGACCTTCCTCTGCATCCCTTATCCGGGGAGCTTCCTTGTTTCTTTTAGGGTTTTATTGCTAGCACTATTATTTCATTTTTTACTTACAACTCCGGAGCATCAGTTTGTTCCCGTATGGGCCACCATTTGCCGCGAGCCGGGACTCTGTCCAGCAGAGTCCAGGAAAGACGACACAGACACCAAGGTGAGGTTCAAGCTTCTGTTTCTCTTTCTCCTTTATTCTCTCGTATTCTCTTCACTATGATCTGTCTCTGTCTCCGTCTGTCTCTGTTTCCTATTCTATTACACACTTCAGCTCTTTATATCGCGTTTCCAACAGCCCTCCCCCCAGCCGGTACCAATCAGGGCTCACACATGTGCAGCGGCCAGGCAGAGTGTAGCCCATAGGCACGTAGCAAGATCATCAGGCTGGCAGCACCTGTTTTGGGGCTCACCATACTTCAGAGTTGGGGTAAACAAGCGGGATTCACGAGCCTTGGCAATCAGCCAAGAGTTGGAGTAAACAGCACGAGGTTTGGCAGCCAGCCAGGGCTCCATCTTTGGCTGGCTCGGCTGTGCTCGCTTCCCACACCAGAACTTAGAGTTGGGATCCTCTTCAGGAAAGGAGAAAGCCAACCATGACCTTGAAGTGTCTCACTTGGGAGGCTAGGTGACACTTGAGCCATTCATGAATGACAGATGAGGAATGATTTGTAAAGAAAAAAATGTAAGCAAAACATAAGGAAATAGGATTTCTTCTTGCCAGTTCTCCCTTAATTTAGTTTCAAATGTGATGCCAAAAATGAAAATAATTTAAGTGACCATCCCACCAAGAAGAAATTTGTCTTCAACTCTTGTTTAATTTTCACAGGAAGAATCCATTTCTCTTAATATAAATATCTCTCCTTAGATGCAAATGGATTTGGGATATTAGACTTCATGCAAATTAGGATGGGAAAGAGGAAGTGTTGATACCTCACTGAAATGCTACTTGGTTATATGAATTTTTTTTTCTGCCCTAACAAATCCCTCTCTTCCAAAGTAATATTGCTACTCTCTTCCCATTCTTTCTGTCTCATTTCACACCAGACTGTCATATACTTTTCTTGGTGGCTTTACATTGGACGACGAAACAAGATTAAATATTGTATGTTAGATGAGGCTGTTAGTTTATTTTGGAGCCTTCCTATATGGTCATATGTTTAAACTACTTTTACTGATATTTCAGCTGCATTTGGTGCATTGGAATGCCATCAAATTTGAGAACTTTGAGGATGCAGCCCTGGAGGAAAATGGTCTGGCTGTGATAGGTGTATTTTTAAAGGTAATAAAATAAAAATCTCACCAAGTTCGTATGATATGTTGTATTCTAGAATGAAAAGATAGAACATTATAATATAAACTATTTAAGAATAATGGGATTAGTTAGGCACACGCCTTTAATCCCAGCAATCAGGAGGCAGAGGCAGACAGATCTCTATGAGATCGAGGTCAGCCTGGTCTTCACAGTGAATTCCAGGCCAACTGAGGTAGAAGGAAGCTATCTCCAAACAAAACTAGCCAGGGTGTGGTGGCACACACCTTTAATCCCAGCACTCAGGAGGCAGAGGCAGGTAAATCTCTGTGAGTTCAAGGCCAGCCTGGTCTACATAGTGAGCTCCAGACCAGCTGGGGCTAAAGGGAGACCCTGTCTCAAAAACAAAACAAAACAAAATAGTGAGATTAGGGGCTGGAGACATGGCTCAGTGGTTAAAAGCATGTATTGCTCTTACAGAGGACCTGAGTTCAGTTCCGAGCACCCACACTGGGCAACTTATAACATCATGTAACCCTAGCTTCAGGGGGATCTGATACCTCTGGCTTCTGAGGGCACCTGTACTCAGGTGTACAAATTCACAGACACATAATAAAAAATAATAAAAATACACCTTTTTAAGAAAGAACATTGGGGGTCTGGAGAGATGGCTCAGCAGTAAAGAGCACTGGCTGTCAGGGCTGGAGAGATAGCTCAGCAGTTAAGAACACTGACTGTTCTTGCAGAAGACCCAGGTTCAAATCCCAGCACCCACAGGGCAGCTAACAACTGTCCGAAACTCCAGTTCCAGGGGATCCGACAGTCTCTTCTGTCCTCCTCAGGCATTGAACGATATGGGTGCACTTACCTACATTACATGCAGGCAATACACACATACACATAAAATAAAAATAATAAATAAAATATTTTTTAAAAAAGAGCACTGGCTGTCTTGCAACAGACCTGAGTTTGGTTCCAACACCTACAAGGCAGCTAACAACCATCCATAACTCCAGTCAAGGCCCTCTTTTGGCCTCTGTGGGCACCTATATTCAGATGCACATACCCCCGCACATGTGCATAAATAAAAAATAAAATGAATCTTTAAAAAAATGCACAGTCCCCTAGAGTAGGCACAAGTCATTCATTTGGGGGCAACTGAGTACTTGAAATATGATTAGTTAGGGAGGTTGAGGCAGGAGGATCAACAGTTTTTGGGCAGCCCAAGCTAGAGTGAGACCTTGTCTCCCCCCACCCCCCCAAAAAAAGAAAGAAAAAAGAAATGTGGTTAGTGCAGAGTAATTTTTATTTTAATCAATATAAATTTCAATGTAAGAAATGATACTTGGAGCTGGAGAGATGGCTCCGCGGTCAAGAACACTGGTTGTTCCTGCAAAAGACCTGGGTTTGAATCCCAGCACCCATATGGCAGCTAACAACTGTCTGTAACTCCAGTTCCAGGGAATCCGAAGGCCTCTTCTGTCCACGAGGGCATTGCACGACACGGGTGCACTCACCTATATGCAGGCAATACACTCATACACATAAAATGAAAAAAATAAAAAAGAAATGCTACTTAATAGGAGCAGGAGGCGCTTTTCTCTGCAGACATACTGGCTTTGTCAGAAAACAGCCTGTTCATTTTGTTCCAAGTCTAATTTAATTCAATGATGTTTATATTCTTTGTAATTACCATCTTAAATCTAGTTTCAGCCCTGTGGTTTGTTTATATGTAACCACCAGGTGGTTAATTTTAATTCACATCCTGTTAGAGTTTCTACAGTGAGATGACCATTGCATTCAATATTTTCTATTTCTTTTTTCAGCTAGGCAAACATCATAAAGAGCTACAGAAATTGGTGGATACTTTGCCATCAATTAAGCACAAGGTAATTATCCCCCTTAAATCACTTGAAGTATAATTTATGTTTAAACCTCAAAGTAGAGGTACCAGCAAGGGACTGAATCAAGAAGACTAATTAAACAAACTGTACACAGGTTCACTTTCAACAGGGCAGAAGGAGGTGTACCGTGGATGATGGTGTGTTAGAGAGCTTGAGGCACAGGTCACACTGCAGGGTTCAGAAACAATGGCACTGGGGGGCACCGAGCATTCTGGGTTTGCTGCCATGGTCCTGAGTACTTGTGGACTCAGGGATCCACTCTGTCCCTGACACTAGCTCCTTCTAAGTCCTTGTAGAAATGCCCAGAACAGTTTCCTTTTCTGTAGATACCGCCTACAAATAGGAAATGAGAAAAGTTCTACAGAAACTTGACTTGTCTGGGGGAGCTGGAGAGATAGCTCAATGGTTAAGAGCACTGACTACTCTTGCAGAAGACCAGAGTTCAATTCCCAGCACCCACATGGAAGCTAACGATCCTCTGTAATTCTAGGGATCCAATGCCCTCTTCTGACCTCCACAGGCATTGCATGTACATGGTACACAACATACACACAGGCAAAACACTCATACACATAAAATAAAAATAGATAAAATAATTTTAAAAAAGAAATTTGACTTGTCTGGGTGTGAAGAACCCCATATCCTTTTGTCCAGTCCCCCAAAGTAAATTCTACACTCTTGAAAATCCCATAGGGGCTGTTTCCCTGAAATCAGTACATCATTCCTATCTTCCTCCTCCCCTCCCTCCCTCACTTCCTATCTCCCTTTCTCTCTCTTTCTCCTTAGTCCAGGATTCTGGCATTTCCTTCCTTCATTTCATCTTTTCTTCCTTCCTTTCTTCCTCCCTTTCTTCTTTCCTTCCTCCCTCCTTTCCTTCCTTCCCACTTTAATTACAATGCTGGGGATGGAACTCGGTGCCTTGAGCATGTTAGGCAAGATCTCTACCACTGATCTACTTCCTCAGCTGGGACAATTGTAGGCCAAGTTCTCTTGAAGAACAGAAGTCTCTTCTCCATGCAGAATTGAAGGAGAAAATATTTCTGCTACTTTCCCAGGAAAGACTATCGGAAATACACAGCATGATTCCATGCTAAATAGATGGTTTCAAAAGCTCCCCATGGTCCCTCCTACCTCCCCTGAATCACTGCTAGTGTCCAGATACCCCCTGAGACCCACTGCCTTGTGGTCTAATCCCTGAATGACTTTCACCAATAAATAATAACTACGTAACTCCTTCTCTTTGACAGGACACCTTGGTGGAATTTGGGTTGTTTGACCCTTCCTGCTTGATGCCCACCTGTCCAGATTACTGGACCTACTCTGGGTCTCTGACTACTCCGCCCCTCTCCGAGTCTGTTACTTGGATCATTAAGAAGCAGCCAGTCGAGGTTGATCGTGATCAGGTATTCTCTGCACATTTTCTGTGGAAGGAAATCCTAGTCTTCCTGTTCAAAACAAAGCTGAGCTCAAATCTTGATTTTTTGTTTGTTTGTTTGTTTGTTTTTGTGGAGGCAGACTCTCATGTAACCTAAACTGGCCTGGAACTTATGGCTGACCTTGAAGTCTAGCCACCAGAGTGCTACGATCAGAGGCATGCAGCACTATGCCTAGTTTTAGAGATGGGTTTTAACCTTTTGTCTTAATTTGGATATGAATTAAGAAATGTTTCAAATTGCCTAGTTTTATTATTTGTTTGCTTCTATTGTTTTGTGGTGGTAGGGCTTGAACTCAGGGCCTTATACATGCTAGGTATGCATGTGGGATTATATTCTCAGGTCCAAAATAACTAAGAAGAGTTAAACCATAGAAGAACATAAGTCATTTGTTTCCATATCTGACAATCATACATGTTTATGAATGGTGTGTTTCCTCTGTAACTCTGAAACTATATAAAGTCAAGAACTGTGTAAAGGGAAGACTGAAAACTGGAAATGCTCAAAGTACTTTAAAATTCTTAAGGGAATATTAAGAAAGGGAAAACAGTCCTGAGAATGGGCGTGGGCTATTTAGCTGAGATAAACGTCCCCAAAGACTCTCCTCTGTTTTTAATAATTTTTAATAAAATAGAGACGAATAGAGACCTCCTTAACATGATAGACTGATGTAATTTAAAAAGTAAATACAGTCATTCATTGGTAGCTCTGGCAGACTGGCTCCAGGACCCCTCACAGATCCCAAAATACACAGATGCTCAAGTCCCTTATATGAAATGGCATAACATTTTCATAGAAACTACACACACCCTCTCGTATCGCTTAAATCACTTCTAAGTTACTTTTAAAGATTATATTGTCATATAATATTTACATAAATGCTATATCAATAATTTTTCTACTATATTAGTTAAGGAATAATGACAAGAAAAATGCCTGTATATGTCAGAGACATTTCCTGGCTGGCCTAGAAGTCTCTATGTAGATGAGGCTGGCCTTGAACTTGCAGCCTACCTCCTACCTATGCCTCCTGAGTGTTGATCATTATTTTTCTTTTTGCTAATATTTATGTGGAACCCATGAATACACAGAACCAATAATAGTGTTAAATGTGGAAATTATTTTTTGTCTCTTTAACCCACACTGGCTTCCAATTCATTGTGTAGCTAAAGAAGAGTTTGAACTCTTGATCCTCCTGCCTCTTCCTCCCCGATGCTGGGATTACAGGTGTGCCCCACTATGCCTCCTGGAAATATCTATATTAAATATTAAATAATGTTCTAGAATTAGCCGAGTCTGATGTATGCCTACAGTCCCAGCAACTTAGGAGGCTGAGGCAGGAGGATCATTTGAGCCCAGGTGTTCAAGACCAGACTGGGCAACATAACAAGAACCCCATCTCCCCCAAAATATGTTGCAAAAATGGCTTATATGATTAGATAAGAAAATAAATGAGGGAAACAGTTTTAAGAACTAGCACAAAAATAAGACCATTTAGTAATTGGTGGAATATAATGTTTATATGTCAAAAATATCTGATACACATGTCAGTTAAAAGACATAATGGGGGCTAGAGAGATGGCTCAGTGGTTAAGAGCACTTACTGCTCTTCCAAAGGACCTGGTTTGGTTCCCAGCACCCATGTGGTAGCTAACATCAATTCTGAAGTCTAGTTCCAGGGACTCTGATGCCCTCTTCTGGCCTCTACAGGCAAACAGACGTGCATGCAGGCAAAATACTCATACTCACAAAATAAAAATGAAATCTTTTTAAAAAGACATACTACAAAAATATAATGGTAGAAAGCTGTAGATATGATAGAAACAAAAATACAAAATATTTTTCAGAAGGGAGACTTGAATTAATTAAATCTATAGTATAGTATTAGCTAGGGTGACATCATAAAAATACCTTTCATGTCAGTTCTCCTTAAGTTGTTATTTTCCATTACTTGTTTATTCTTCATAATTTAATGTAGCCCCCAGACAGGCCAGAAGGTGTCAGAGCCCCTGGAGCTGTAGCTACAGGTGGTTGTGAACCACCTGATATGGGTTCTGGAAACAAAACTTGGCGCCCTAGCCTTATGAAGCAGGGCCAGGGAGACAAAACAATAGAAAAATAATCCATAACCAAATAACATCAGATTACTTTAGGTTACCCTTTTTATGTGTGTGAAAGGTTGAAGGCAGAGGAAACTTCATTACAATTTGAATTGAAACTGACCTGTTTGGGAAATTTAGCTTTAAATCTCTCTAATCTCTGTTTCTCAGAAAAATCGGATAAATAGTTTAATTTCTGCTTGGTAGAATGGAAATTTAATTTGAGTGACACCATCTTGATTTTCTATATTGGTCTGGAATCCCAATAGGTTCTCCAACACAGCATAAGGTGTGTGTGTGAGTGTGTGTCTGTGCGTGCGTGCGTGCATGCATGCGTGTGTGTGTGTGGTGGTACGCACCTGTAATGCCAGCACTTGGGAGGTGTGGGCAGGAGCATCAGGAGTTCAAGGCCACACTCAGATCCACAGTGAGTTCTAGGCCAACCTAGGCTACTTGAGATCTTGTCTCAAAACAAAAAAGAACTAAAACAAACAAAACAAAATGAAAAAGAATCAGGTGGAAGCAAATTCAGCCCTCAGCTCTTTTGTTCTATTCAGGTTCTCAGCAGAGTGGATGATGCCCTCTCAAGTGACAGAAAGCCTTTTGCTTTACTGAGACCCCAATTCCAATCTTTTGGGGGGGTCTTTTTTGGGGACAGGGTCTCCCCGTAGCCCCAGCTGGCCTGGAACTTACTATGTAGACCAGGCTGGCCTCGAACTCACAGAGATCTGCCTGCCTCTGCCTCCCCAGTACTAGGATTAAAGGCGCATGCCACCGTGCCTGGCTCCCAATTTTAACCACTTCTGGGAAACACCTGTACAGACAAGTTCAGAAATGATGCTTAACCAGCTGTCTGTGCATCCCCAACTCAATCAAACTAATACACAAAATTAGCCTTCTCAAGAAGAAATTAGTAAGTTCAGAAATGTGCCTGAATAATATGAGAATTTACTTTATGATAACGGTAGTATCTCAACTCAGTGACAGGAAGGGCTAGAACATTCTGTAACCCATGGTGAGGATGATGTTTGGTGGTAGAGGTGGAGTTGGATTTAGCATTCAAATTTCACACAGGAACATATTCTAAAAATACTAAATGTAAAAATAGCATCATTGGAGCTGGGGATACAGCTCAGTATAAAGTGCTTGCCAAGCATACATGAGTCCCTGCATTTAATCCTCAGCACTGCAAAAGAGAAAAAAAGTCATAAAAATTCTTGGACAGGGCTGGAGAGATGGCTCAGTGGTTAAGAACACTGTCTGATCTTGCATAAGACCCGGGTTTGAATCCCAGCACCCACATGGCAGCTAACAACTGTCCGTAACTCTAGTTCCAGGGGATCTGATGGCCTCTTCTGTCCTCCATGGGCACTGCACGACACAAGTGCACTTACACACATGCAGGCAATACATGCATACACATAAAATAAAAAAATGAATTAAAATATTAAAAAATCTTGGATAAACGTAGGGAAATCCTTTCATAGTCAAAATGAACAGAGAAAATCAGAGGTCTAAAAGAACACAAGTAGTTTATTTAAACATTTAGACATTTAAACATTTAAACATTTCTGTATGATGGAGTGCACACACATAAATCACAGAGAAATGACAAAAAGTCCAGTGTTGTAGTGCCCATAAGCATAAGTTTTGTGACCTACACATTTGGTCTACTATGCTTCATATTTAAAAATTGATATAACACTGAAAAGTAAACCAGAGGGTCAGAGGCCCATGTAAAGAATTTTCAAATAAAATTTCAACATAGTCAATTCAGCAATTAAAAAATGTTGGGGCTGAAGGGATGGTTCAGTGGTTAAGAACACTTGCTGTTCTTGTAGTGAACCTGAGTTTGGTTCCCAGCACCCATATCAGTCTACTCAAAACCACTTGTAACTCCAGGTCCAGGCAGTCTGAAGCTCTCTTTTGGCCTCCACGGGCACGCACACATGTCACTTGAGGGGTTCTATGCAGTTAATGGTTAACAGGGAAGGGAGAGACATTTTCCTAAGTTGTGTAGTCACAGTTAAGTGTGCATACTGCTCTTGCAGACGACCCGAGTTCAGCTCCCGGGACCAATGTCGGGCAACTCTTAACTGCCTGTAACTCCAGTTCCAGAGGATCCTGTTCCCTCTTCTGGCCCCTGCAGGCACCTGTACGTGGCAGACACACAGACACATGTGCATAAACATGAATAAAAATTAATCTTTTTAAAAGGCATGAAAGAAAGCTGGGTGTGGTGGTGCACGCCTTTAATCCCAGCACCCAGGATCTTTGTAAGATTGAGGCCAGCATGGTCTACATAGTGAATTCCAGGCCAACCAGGGCTACATAGTGTGACCTTGCTTCCAAGAGAAAAAAGACATGAAAGTAGTTGGGAAGAGAAAAAAAGGATCTGCAGGAGTGAGAAGGGGAGTTACTGGAGGGTGCATAGGCTCAAATACATTATGTACATGTTTGAAAATTTCATAATGAACCTATTATTATGTATAATCAATATATAGAATGATTTTGTACACACCATTTTGCTAGTTTTTCACTCCGTTGAAGTTCCTAAGAATCGAAGAGATGCTATAACTCATCTTTGGTAAACAACTAATGCGTTGTGATAAGCACCTTTGCCCCTAATCTGCTCCCAAGAGCCTGGCTGATTTCCAGACTTCTACTTTTTTCACACAACCAAGACAACATCATGGCATGAGACTCCTTGTCAAGGGGTGAAGGCATCTTATTCAGAAATAAATTCTCTTTCTGGATCCAACTTGAGACAAAAATGTTTCATTCAGAATTATAAAAGTGAAAGCAAGTTGGGTGTGGTAGCCCAAGCCTTTAATCCCAGCATTCCAGAGATCAGACCAGCCTGGTGTACATAGTGACTGCCAGGCCAGCCAGGGTTACATAGTGAGACCTTGTCTCAAAACAAACAGAACCATCAAAAATGAAAGTAATCTATTCACATGCTAAAGCTGTTTTTCTATTGACATTCTTAATGTTTTTCTGTTTCTAGCTTGAGCAATTTCGGACCCTGCTTTTCACTTGTGAGGGGGAGAAGGAGAAAAGAATGGTGGACAACTTCCGCCCCCTTCAGCCACTGATGAATCGCACTGTCCGCTCGTCCTTCCGCCATGATTATGTGCTCAATACACCCAAGCCAGCAGCCAGCCAAGTGACCCCCTAAGACACTCCTATCTAAACGGCATCTTGCTTTAATACATATTAACTTTAAAATTTTTTAACTAGGTTATTTAAAAACCCTGCACTTAATGATATTTACACATATACATTTCTGTTTTATTTCCCCTTCCTTTTTTGTCATTTCCAAGTTTCTATCCTTATAAAGCAGGAGAACAGAGACAAAACAATAGAAAAATAACTCATAACCAAATAACATCAGGTTACTTTAGGTTACCCTTTGTGTGTGTGTGAAAAGCTTAAGGCAGAGGAAACTTCATTACCATGCCAATTGAGACTGGCCTGTTTGGAAAATTTAGCTTTAAATCTCTCTAATCTCTTTTTCTCAGAAAATCAGATAAACAGTTTAGTTTCCGCTAGGTGAAATGGAAGTTTAATGTGAGAGAGCCTATCTTGATTTTTATGTTGGTCTGGTAGGGCCTAATACAGGAGCTTAATCTAAAACAATGTGTTCTTGTGAGTTTTAACAATTGTCCCTTTTTGTCCACACTGTCCCCTTCTTAAAGTGTTAGCGCTACTTTTATTTACCAATCATTCTGGTCTCAAAATGACACTCATAAGTGTGCATTTATTGGTTTGAAAATGTTTCATGTGTCTTTGAAGGGAGTCCTTTGATAAATACATTCGCTCCTTGACTGATAGTGGAAGAAACATCAAATATTAATCTTTTCTTTAAAACACTATAAAATATGTTACAAGGAATTCTAATGTTCTAATCCTCTACTCCCCATCCTATAAAAACTTTTGATTTGATCGCCCCTAACACACACCCTATAAAACGTTTGCTTATGGATGAAGGAAAAAAATAAAGAGTCCTAGTATATTCCAGGAATTGATGGCCTGGGAGTGGGGAGTAGGCTGAGCCCTTCTTCCCTCTTTGGTCAAACCCCCCCCCCTTTTCCTTTTTCTTCTTTTGCTTGGATTTTTAGCCAACCAGGAAAGACTGTGTGGGTGAACCTCAGCCAATGGGGAAAAGACACAGTATTATGGTAGTTAGGAGTTAGGATAAAAATATGCCATACCCCTGTTCCCTGTGCTTGCTTCTCTATATTTCTGTTTTGAGTAGTGCACTCTTATGATCAGAAATAAAGGTTTGCCTTAGCAAGACTCTTCAGCTGGAGTGGTGATGGTCTCTTCCTTTGTAACCCTGAACATAGTTCTAACAATAATAGTATGTGTCACTGGAATAAAAGCAGGAGATTTGTTTCCCTTATAATAAATGTGCTTTGTTTTTTGTTTCTTGTTTCTTGTTTTTTATTTGTTTGTTGGTTGGTTTGTTTGAGACAAGATCTCACTATGTAGCTCTGGTTGACCTAGAACTCCCTATATAGACAGGCCGGCCTCAGACTCACAGAGAACTGCCTACCTCTCCCCACAGAGTGCTGGAATTAAAGGCATGTGCCACCATGCCTGGTGCAAATATTTTTAATATTTTATTTTTATTATTTTTGTATTATGTGTGTGAGTGTATTGCCTGCATGTACGTAAGTGCACCTATGTCATGCAATGCCCATGGATGTCAGAAGAGGGTGTCGGATCCCCTGGAACTGGAGTTACAGATTGTTGTTAGCCATTTTGTAGGTGCTGGGAATCGAACCTGGGTCCTCTGCAAGAGCAGCCAGTGCTTTTAACTGGGAAAACATCTTTCCAACCCCACAAATGTGTTTTAGTCTAACATTTTCTGTTTGTTTGCTTTTGAGACAGGATCTCACTTTGTAGCCCAGGTTAATCTGGAACTCATAGCAATCCTCCTGACTCCTCCAAAGTATTAGGATTACAGGTATGAGGCACCACACTTGGTTATTATCTTTGACATTTTTTGGCTTAAACAAAAAACAAAACAAAACAAAGTTTTTGGGGCTGGAAAGATGGCTCAGTTGTTAAGAGCACTGGCTGCTCTTGCAGAGGACCCGAGTTCAATTCCCAGCACCCACATGATGGCTAACAACTATCAGTAACTCCAGTTCCAGGGGAATCCAAAACCATCTTCTGACCTCTGTGGGCATCACAGGACATATGTGCAAATACATACATGCAGGCAATACACTCATACACAAAAAATAGTAAGTAAGCCAGGTGTGGTGGCACATGCATTTAATCCCAGCACTCAGGAGGCAAAGGCAGGTGGATCTCTGTGAGTTCAAGGCCAGCCTGGTCTACATAGTGAGTTCCAGGCCAGTTGGGGCTACAGGGAGACTCCACTCTCAAAAAGACCACCACCACCACCACCACCAACAACAACAATAATAATAATAATAATATAATATATTTTTAAAACCCCACAAAGTCTCATATAGCCCAGGCTGGACTACAATTTGCTGTATAACCAAGGCTGGCCTTAAACTTCTGATTCTCCTGCCTCCATCTCCCAACTGCTGGGATTATAGGTATGTGCCACCACGCTCAGCTTTGGCTATCTTTTTATGCTTCTCACTAAATAGTTCTATAGAGTTACAAGTGTAACAACTGCTAAAGGCACAGACACTCCCCTTTCAGAAACCATCCATAGGGGCCCAGACTGGCAACTCCCAGCTGAAATTTCACCATGGTTTTAGATGTATTTTATTTTAAACCTTGAGTATACATTCTTGTATTCAGACTTCTCAATGAGTATGTTTGTCTTAATCCTTAGTTGCCATTATGTGCATATGACATGTTTATTTATTATCAATTTATTATATGGAAAATATATTATGTAATGAAGAGCCAGTAAGGTGGCTCATCAGGTAAAGGGACTGGCCACACAAACCTGATAACTTCAGTTCTAGCCCTAGTGCCTACATAAAGGCTCAAGGAGAGAACCGACTCCACAAGCTGTCTTCTGACCTTCACACATGCTCCGTGTGACCTTCACACATGTATATGCTCATACCACACACATCACATACACACAAAAAATAATGAAATAAATTTTAAAGAAGAAAATATATTTTGTAACCTTAAGAAAAGTAGTACTGTCATTATATCTAGAAGGCCTTTGCATTTTTGAAAGTCACATATTTTACTTAAAGGCTTGGGATCATATAGAAAGCATCTGCAGAATGATTTAATGAAGATGATTAAACTGTTGGAAAATAGATACAAGATTAATTATCTAGTAGCCTCTCATTTACAATAGTTTGCATGATTTGTGTCTTGCTACATGGAATACAATTATAGTATTTCCACAGTTACTGAACACCCTTAGAAACCCTTTAAAATTTCCTATACTTTATTTACTTATTAGCCAAGGTTCTTTACAAGGCAGGTGACTGACTTAAACCTCCCATTTACACAGTGGTTTACAAGACTTTTGATATAATAACAAGAAGAGAGATTTGTCAGATTGAAATCTAAATGATTCTGCATATTCTTAAAATGTTTCCAGCTGCCTCTATGCGACGGACCAGCCCAGACCGGAGCAGTTCAGTCTGACGGGAGCAGGGTCCCCGAAAGGGTGGACATGGATTCGGCTAATGACAAACAGACAAACACACAGGAGTTTGATGAAAGTCTGAGTGTAATTTTGCAGCTGCAGAGCTCAGATTATAAATTACAAAGTTACATGATTACATCAATAAGCCATTGTTTTGCGGTTTAACCATTTTGTAAGAGCTCTGATTCCAGAGACAAAAGTGAAACGCAAGTGAATCAAAATACATTGTCAAACATTAGTGCTAAACAGAAAGTTTCTGTTTTTCATCTTGGTGAGTCACATTAGAGACCTTTAAAATTTATATTCTGTGGTTACACAATGAGCTGACCTCAAACCACTATGTGCTTTCAATACTAGCTCTATAATCACTGATAGTTCTATTTGAATTCCAGGTGATTCACAATAATGTTGCTTTATATCTGCCTTTTTTTCCCTGTTCATTAATATGTCCCAAACCCCGTTACGTCAGTATCCCATTCTAAACCTGTAGCTCTCATGAAATCCTTCCAAGTATGGGACTTATAAACATAACTACTTA